ACATTGGAGAGGCTTCTTGTCGCCCCTCATTACCTAATGAAAAAAGAAGCTAGCAGAAGGGTGGTTGTTTGATCAAAAGAAGCGGAGGGAAAATAAAATATGAGGACAGGGCAGGAGTTGGATTGCAGTGTTTAGGCCGGCAGATAACGTTAGAATTCCAAGGTGTCTCTTCTGGGATCTTGCAGTCGGGTTACACCGGGGTCTTCATACAGACACGACACTTGCTCAAATTATCCACCACTGGTCCCTCAGCTGCCTTTAGCGTCTGACCAACAGGTTTTACAAACTGCGTGTTATTGCCAGACGGTATAGCACGTAAGTAGTAGACCTTAGCGTCGTTCCAGTAGTGGCAGGTGCCCGCATTGTTGTTGCACTCCAGGACTGGAGAATAGTGGAACTGTTCCATACAACTTCCTGGTGAGGAGAGACCCTGACCGCCGCCGAATCCACCAGAAGTGTGCTAGTATAATGAAAAGTAAAGGTGACAATGTATCAGGTATGTCCTTTTTTAACAACCTAACATGCTTACTTGTTTCCTTTAAGTAGGCATGGGATATGAAGGTTACGTTTCCAGTTGGGCATAATAAAATGCTCAAGGGCTAGGTTAAGGCGGTGTTTAAAGTTAGGACTGGGTTAAAGAAAACTGTAATGTAAACAGTAAGGGCTGTGGGTAGGGTCCAACTTGCCTGCTGCAAGTCTTGTTTTCCATTCCAACTGTCTTCAGCCAGTAAACTTGCATTTCCGTTTTTCAGCGGTTTATACATCCCTAATTTGCATACTTCATATTTCTGGTCTGATTCATCACCTCATTAGGGGTAATAAAACAAACGTTTCGAGTATTCTCAATACCTTTCGTAGATGCTGGTAACTGATTCGCAAGTTGAATTTTCAACTGGCCAGACAGCCTCGGCCGATTGTTCGTCAACCCTTTAATCGATAATTTGACTGGTCGGAAAATTAGCCTTCCAGCAAGGGCAAAAGGTTAATTCTATATTTCACCAGAACCTAACTCTGCCTGTGCAAACACCCCATATACCATTGCCTTTGACTTACAGTGCTCATTTATCTTACGTATGCAAACATTTGCTCTGGACGGCCAGAGCTAGTCAATGATTTGTTCGGGTTGCTTGACTTGCATGCGGCTTGTCAGAGGTAACTTGTTAGAATATCACAGTTAAAGCATGTAGACATTTTACATCTAAATTTAAGTGTATTGGGAGGAAACATGGAATCTGCGACCATAAAAAATTCGGGCTGTAACTAGGGGGTGTTTTTTGCCCTCCGTCTGAGAATCCTGATGTGGATAAATTCGCAAAAATAGTATGACCCCTAGCGGAACCTGTGATATATAGAACGGACAGACCGCTAAGGTAGACAACTGATTACATATCTGTTCTCCTCTGAGAGCGACAAATAGGTTAAAGCCTGGCCGATGGACGGATTTTCTCCTCAGTATGTGTAAACGGCTAATATGACACAAGCGAAGTCCAAGACGCAGAGCTTGTGTTAAAAATATGAACCATCCATAAGATAAGCCTGAAAAATGTTCCATGCCCAGTACCGCCTGAGAAGATGTCATATTCTATCGGGTGAGTGAAATATTATTCACTAAAAAGTTTTCTTTAGTTAGAAAGGCTAAAAACTGCGTGCCGCCCAGGCTCCAAGATAGTCCAAGATATATTAGTAAAATATACAATACAGAATAAGACGAAAAGAAGGAGGAACTAATGTTCTAAGGGGATCGCGGGTGTGGGAAATAAAAACCTG